CTCGGGGAGCTGTGATGTAAAACCACTCTTGCTGCCATAAATCAGAAGTTTCCGCGAAAGAACCCTTTGGCCATGGGGCGTCAGTGCCTTTGCTTATTATAGCGCATCCGCACTCCGCGTGACGCCCGTCAATCACCCTCGGCCTCACATTGAAGGTTTTGAGCCACAGGCCGAAGTGGGGGGTAATGCAGAGAAAGGCTTCACACACGACGATAAACGACGAGATGTGAAGGATGGAATCTCGAGCTAGATCATGGAAATCTAGCCCGTAATAGAACATGATCCCCCTCACGAAGGGATCAAGACTAAAACCTAGCCCTCGAAAGAAGTGGGAAATAAATACGACACTCTCGTTGGGTTCGGGAGTGGGGATGACCTGCCCTTGAGCAGGCAGCCTGTGTAGGATTTCGGCGGTGAGATACCTGGCCTCCCTAAGCTTCTTGATGTCCTCCTCTATGACGGAGGAGGCCATCCACCGGCATTGAAGATTGGATCCGGACATGGTCGAGGCTCCAAAGTGCTTAAGCTTGAGCCTTGAGTGTTGGAACTCGAGGTGCGGGAGGGGAAGGATCGAGCGTGGGAAGAAAAGGACAGGCCTTGGCCCCTCTTTATAAAGAGGACGAATATCAAGCGTCCCCCGCGTGATCGTTTGGGACTTGCCTAAAATCGAGGAGTCATATTAAACAAACACGGTTGGGTTACCCACACCTGTATTGATGAGAATCCCGTGATAAGGGGGACACAATCTCTGCTTCAACAAGACGTGCCGATAAAACCGCCTTGCAATATGTGCGGTGGCTGGTTATGAAAAACGGTTCGAATAATGACCGGGCCATGGTGTGACGTCATGCTATGAAAAGTTGTCAGCGGATTAGATTTGTGGAATAGTGTGCTCTCTATGATGGTATGTGGAATTTGTTTTGCAGAGACGAACATGATTCTTGTGTTCGAAATCTTCTATGGAGTATTCGGAGAAGGAACCCACCTTGCAATGTCGAAGACAATCTGCGCGCCGGACTCATCGTCATTGAAGCCTGGTTCAGGGGCTACTGAGGGAGTCCTGGATTAAGGGGTCCTCGGACAGCCGGACTATATACTTTGGCCGGACTGTTGGACTATGACGATACAAGATTGAAGACTTCGTCCCGTGTCCGGATGGGACTCTCCTTTGCGTGGGAGGCAAGCTTGACAATTCGGATATGTAGATCTCCTTCTCTGTAACCGACTCTGTGTAACCCTAGCCCCCTCCGGTGTCTATATAAACCGGAGGGTTTAGTCCGTAGGATAAGAACAATCATAATCATAGGCTAGCTTCTAGGGTTTAGCCTCTACGATCTCGTGGTAGATCAACTCTTGTAATGCTCATATCATCAAGATCAATCAAGCAGGAAGTAGGGTATTACCTCCATCGAGAGGGCCCGAACCTGGGTAAAACATCAAGTCCCCTGCCTCCTGTTACCATTAGCCTTAGACGCACAGTTCGGGACCCCCTACCCGAGATCCGCCGGTTTTGACACCGACACCCCTCTCATTGGCTGGCCAACCCTAGGGGAAGGAAAGGGGAGGGGTGGCCCCTCCTGCCTTTCCCTCCTCGTGAGAGAAAGGAAAGGGGAGGAGGCGCCACCTTCCCTTGTCTTCCTCCCGCACTCAAATAAGGAAGGGGGCGCAACTTGGGGAAGTCCCCAAGTAGGATTCGACCCTACTTGGGGCGCCCCCTAGACTCTTCCCTCTCCCCACCTATATATATGTGGGAGGGGGCGCCACACAGAACAACAACAATCTCTTAGCTGTGTGCGGCGTCCCCCTCCACCATTTACACCTTCGGTCATATTTTCGTAGTGCTTAGGCGAAGCCCCTGCGGAGATAGCTTCACCATCATCGTCACCACGCCGTCGTGTTGCCGGAACTCATCCACTACTTCGTTGTCTTGCTGGATCAAGAAGGCGAGGACGTCACCGAGCTGAACGTGTGCTGAATGCGGAGGTGTCGTACGTTCGGTACTTGATCGGTTGGATCGCGAAGAAGTTCGACTACATCAACCGCGTTACTAAATGCTTCCGTTTACGGTCTACGAGGGTATGTAGACACACTCTCCCTCTCGTTGCTATGCATCTTCATGGATAGATCTTGCGTGTGCATAGAATTTTTTTTGTTTTCCCTGCAACGTTTCCCAACAATTATGCCAACTCATCATGCCACTATACATGCCCCTATTCATGCAACTATGCCAACTCACCATGCCACCATGCATGAAGAGCCACCTAACATGCATCATGCATGCTAATTATATTAAATAAATGTTCTTCAATTGTATAATAATCAAATATAATATATTATATGTGCTTTAATTCCAATTGTGCTATTGCTAATCAGAATACTAAAAGTTCATACCACAAAATCTCATAAAAATAACCACATCCAATTCCAGCTGCAACATGTGGGGCATCATCTCTCATTGTAACAACAACTTAGCCCTTCTTTGATTCAAAACAAAAATGGAGGAAACACATAAGAATATAAATTTTCTATGGTGACACTACTTTGGTTCAAAGGAATGTAGCATAGGAAAAAATGGAAGAAAATTTCTTTTGGTCTCAATTTCAGAGGAAAAAAAGTATGAAATTTACAATATACTTGGATCTCCTTCTCAAATTCCTACACGTGAATAATGAGACTAAGATCCTTAATGGCATAATAACATGCTAATTATACCTTTCCAAGTGGTTTGAATTTGATTTGAGTTTGTACACTATAATTTTTGTGTTTTTTCTATTCCTGCTAACAAACATCTAAGTTTGTAAAATTCATATGTTAACTAATCTTCTGTTTTACATATGTCTTCCTACTAATTTCTGCATTTTTGAAATCCTATGAACCAAAGGAAGCTATTGGTGTTACTGTAAATATAAAGCATATACTACTAAAATGTACTCCCTCCATCCCAAAATGTAAGATCATTTTTGACGCTATCAAAATGATCTTACATTTTAAGACGGAGGGACTTTCTTTTAGACTGGTTATCTTATTTTCTGAAATTTTATATGTTTTTTATGGGTAGATTAATTCAATTACCCTTTTTACATCTTCCAATAACGATGGAGCGACATGCAACGGTTGATTCGAAAGAAAGAAGAAGGAATCTCTATGCAATATCTTTACTTTCTTTTTTAGGGGTGTACGGTCTGTATGACGAAGTCGTTACAAACGTCTTTGTAGTCGACGGGAACATCTCTTTGCACTGAATGCACATCACCGAAAGTTTTCAAATAAATTCAGAAAATGCGACCATCGGTGTCAAGTCTAGGACTTGATCCTGTTGGGTTGGTTCCGCCACAAAACTCTAACCATATGAGCTACCAAATCAGTTTGCATTGAAAACAAATAATGGATCGCATATCGGTCGGTTGTACTCCGTTTGCTTCAGTGCGAGCTTGGCCGCGTCGTGGATCACCAAGTCATCGCCCTGATCCCGCGCAAAAAAAAAAAATCATCATCCTGATGAAGAGCGCGCGCGTGGCGATCGAACGGTGCGGAGCACGTTGCACCGCACGTTCGTGCGGTATATTCACCGAACAGCACATCCTAGTAGATTGGAGTCGAACCGTCCGAGAAGGCAGTGCACGCCGCCGCCGCCCCCTCCTCAATCCCCCGGCCCCGCCGCCCAACTCCCTCCGCCTCTCACGCGCGTCGCCGCCCACCGCGCCCCTGCTGTCTCCACCCCGTCCGCAATCTCTCGCCACTGGGTTTCGAGGTATGAGCTTTCGTTCATCCACGGATTAGTTAAACCCTACCGATCTCCCTAATTTCTGGGCGCATCTAGATCCGTCCCTGTTGCTAAATCGCGGTTGCCTGCTGTTTTGCCCGTCGATGCAGGGGAACATGGCGAGGCTGGTGTCGTCTTCCCTCGTCAGGGGGCTCGTGCGGTCGTGCCGCGCGCCCAGCACGGCGGTAAGTGCCGGCACCTTCATCAGTTCATAGTTCTGAGATTTTCCCCATTTATTTTCGCTCAACTGCTCCGAGCTCTGATCGAGCCCTAAAATCCCCAAATTGCTGTCAGGTTCATTGGGACCTAGTAAGCTAACCGGTTCACTCGTTTACAGTTACATAAATTTAATGTTACATTCATCTGTGCCAAGTGATTCTATCACGAGATTGTTTGATAAGAGCTATCATGATGACCCTGGTTTTCACCTTTTTTAAAAGCATATCATGTCTAGAGATGAGACTCTGGTGGCCCCATATATTTTAACCAAAAATCCACATGTGTAGAGTCAGCATCTGTCACCATTTGTGCTATAAGGCAGCCATTATTATGTCTAAATGGATGCTATAGTTCTCTACCAAGTGGTTTCCTGTAAACGTGTTCCATTTAAATGGGATGTTTATGCAACCTGTTTAATGCTGTACGCCTGCATGGAGAGTGGTTCGGTGAGGCTGGAGCCACATCCTGGCTCTGAACCTTATAATGCCATAGACTGGTGGTTGTTTTGGTTTCATTTTAGATGGAACAGTGGCTATGAGCTTTGAAGAAGGTTACATGGTTAGTTTTAGCTTAGACTTGCAATGTTATCACAGTTGAGGTTTTCTCGTTAGCTTCTGGGCATCTATTGTCCATTTGTCCTTTTCGCTCTGTGCTTACACTATGTATTTTCAAGCTTTATTTTGCTTCCAATTTATCAAAGAACCAACTAATGTTGCACTATGAGCTTTTGTCAAGCAAAGCAGATTGTTTCTGTTGCGATTTTGATCTCATGTTCACACAATGACCTTGTTTTTACATGATAATTGGAAAAGCAGACCGTGTCACGACCAGCTTTCCAACAGTTCATGACCTACTCATCAGGAATCAGTGGTGATTCTAACGTGAATGGGGGCACAAGTGCAACACGAGTAACCGCTGATACTGATACACATCAAGATTTCCAGCCTACAAGCAAAGGTTCTGACATGTCTTTGCAAGACATCGTTGCTCAGGTATTTATATGCACACATGAGCTTCAGAACATTTAGATTCAAGCACTTGAAATATAACAAAAATACGCATGGCATGAAAATTGTAAAGCTTAATGTTGTGTCATATTCTTCTGCTGTTAATTAATTTCCTTGATGAAATCTTTGGCAGGATATCAAGGAGAATCCAGTCATTATCTTCATGAAGGGTTATCCTGAAGCTCCCAGGTGTGGATTTAGTGCACTGGCTGTTAAGGTCCTCCAGCAATATGGTAAGCTATATCTCAGAACCAGCTGTCAGTAAATTGTGCCTCTGAAATCCCTAAATCATATCTTGTCTGTTGCAGGCGTCTCTATCACTGCCAGAGATATTCTGACTAATATGAAGCTCAAGGAGAGTGTCAAAGCTTACTCGTAAGTGGCTCGTCATAACCTCCCTGATGATGTACTTTCAGTTTTAGATGGAGGACAATTGTTTCAAAAAGGAGAAGGAAAAAGGAACTAGCCATGGGAATAGGGTATGAGATGATGTGGTAAAGAAAATATTTTACTATGGGTTAAGATTTAGCTTCAACAACAGATGATAAACATACAGAATATGATTTTGATTTAGTTAGTTGGAGGCTTTACTTGGAACAGATTCGTCGAAAACATGTTGTGTGCCCTTGATTACAACATTGCAGAGTTCTACTTAATGTTCAACTTTCAGAGTTCCAATTTTATTCAGTTTCATTCATATGTATCATGGCGGAAATGACAAATGGATAATTTAACACCTGTTGCTAAGCTGCCGGGATTTACAAATTATGTATCTCCTGATGGTATCATTATTAAAGCTACTGTTTGTTTGTGCAGTAACTGGCCTACCTTTCCGCAAATATTTATCAACGGGGAGTTCGTTGGGGGCTCTGACATCATATTAAGCATGCACCAGGCAAGTGAACCGATCATCACTATTTCGTTCAGCATGTGTATCCAGCTGGTATCTTTCACTTGGTGGTTGACTTGTTCTCCAAATTTTCTTCAGAAAGGGGAACTTAAGGGTTTACTTGGTGATTCCGCACAAAAGGGCGAGCAAGACAGTGCCCAGTGAAACAAGCTACAGTATGTTAGCTTTTGCATCGAGATGGATGCTTCCTCTCTGAGTACACTTTAACTCGAAGCTCTTCATGTGGTTTTCTGTCGTTTTGGCGCGGGATTTTCATCATTGTGTTGCCAGCCATGATGGAAATCTCTCGGTTCCAAGAGCATCCAAGTTTCCGTTTCATGACAAATAAATGCCACTTTTCAATACTGTTTTTTGTACGTTGTAATAGTCAGGTGATTTTGTTTGGATTCTATATACTTTGGGCTCCGTTTGCGTTGCAGTAATAAATGGTTAGGCTGTTACATAGTTATTTATGCTGCTTTTCTATTCTGCGAAGTTAATTTTGTTTGTGTAATCATCCGTTTCCACTGCGAGCGCACCATCGATTCAAGGCTTGTGGGGTTGCATTATCTGAATTCAGAACTTACCTGTGTAATGCATCTTGCTCGTATAAACTTACAGCATAAACCTGCCCAAATCGAAGAAGGTAGTGGCGATTCCGTCGAGGGCAGATTTTGGGTTATTTGAAATAATCAAAACAGATGAGTAATACTCCCCCGGTCTCATAATGTAAGACGTTTTTAACACTAGCGTAGTATCAAAAAATGTCATACATTATGGGACAGAGGGAGTAACTTCTAAAAATTCTGAAAACAATTTTATTTTTGTGAAAATGCCCCAGATCTATTATAAAGGATCAACAACAATAGAGATAAGTCCATATTACAACCTCGAACTATCACTGAAGTCTAAAAAACAACTGTGAACTACGCAACGGTCTAATAGACAACCCTCAACTTTCAAAACCAAAACAGCTTGTAAATGTAATTAATTTGTTCAGCAAATGTCATCCACAAAAATATTTAGACAAAAAGTTGAAACTTGAAATGTGAAAACTGAACCAGGATTCCTTTTTCTATGGCACAAACACAAACAACTCCTTATGCCCTCTTTGTGGCTGATGCTGAAGCTCGAAGGACATAGTAGTGTTTCTTGTTGCACTGTAACTTTGACTCTGCTATGTAACCCTCCTGGATTCGCTATCAACAATGTAATAGTAGTGTTTCTTGTTGCACTGTAACTTTGACTCTGCTATGTAACCATCCTGGATTTGCTATCAACAATGTAACTTGTCTATCTTATGAATGATTGTAACAATGTAACAATATAAATATATATGTCTCATTAAGCACGTGTGAGATCTCGGTGCTGTTTTGGTTCATGCACAAGTAAAATAATCAGTTCAGTAGGAAAAAAAAGGATAGAACACGTTGAAACAAAAATATCATTCGTAACCAAAACCAAACTGATCACAATGTCTCTGACTTTGGATGGAAACACATACCAAATATATGAAATTTCAATAGTACCAAGATTCAGCGAGGCATGTCCGCATATGAAACGCCAAGCTAAGACATAACCGTATACCCAAAGCCCAAGTTGGCAACCAAGCCATTTTATCACTCAATTCGGCACAACCACAGGTACTTATTATTTAGACGCCGCTACACTGAGCCTTTCTCAAGGCATCTCTTCATTCAATCAAGTTGACGATGAACTGCCGAGTTCCAAGCTTGCTGTAAGCCACTTGACAACTTCGTCCATCTCCTCTGGAACGGTATAGTGCCCGAGTCTTCCAAGGAGAGGAGATCAATCAGCACAAGGAAATCACAACATTCAAGGGGAATAAAGAAGGTAGCAAACCTGCTGTAGGACTTGAATTCCACATTTGCAAACCCGGTTGACTTAAGTGCATCAGCAGATCTCTCTCCATGTTTGTAGAGGACCACATCATCAGCTGCAAAAAGATGATAACAGTCACAATTTACGGATGGCCTCTGCATAACTAAACATAAATAGAGGACTCAGAACAAGTAATGCAGTGCTGATGCATCATGAAAGCAGATGACCATTATCAAGACACCTGGTCCAAAGACCTACATGTTCTGCTAACTCGTGTTCTGTTCATGCCCATAATAAAAACTTGAGGCATGAATCAATTTATTATGTAAGAAAATTGCTTATCACAGTTTTTCCATCAAAATTTGCAATTAGCAGAGCTGATCATCGTAACTAACCTTGTGAGGAATGCCACATGGAAATTACATCAACTCGGTTACTAAGAGCCAGACACTATCAAGCTTAGCTGCTTAGGCAACGAAAAAACAGAGCAAAAAACTTTCTGGTGAAGCTATTGTTTGAATCCAGGTTAAAAGGGGAAAGGAACTGTCCATATACTTGATAAGCAACTCAGTTCTGTTATATCTGCTGCGAAGAAGCAACTTCAGGTAATACAAGTGTGTAGCTACAAGCCAACGACCGTTCTAAATGTTCCATAAACATAAAGAAAGATGTTTCTGGTTTGAAGCACACAGGTCACTAGCTCCAGAAGAAGGACGGACTGTGAAATGCGCATCTTGGGGAAATACAGCGTGCTGAATGTCATCATTACCGATAAGGTGCTTATTTCAGTATTACACAAAAAACTGAAAATCATGCTAAAGACATGCACCTTTTCCATGACAAAGCATAAGAGGTAATGATGAAGCCTTCTGTGCAGCCTCCTGTGAGCTCTCAATTTTGTTCTTCAATGACCTGAGGTGACCGCACAGCACAAAGTGGATCAGCCGCAAGGAAGCAGCTTCAGTGAAACTTGTGCACATAAACATACTAGCACAAACCTGGCACACGGGAGCCAGCCACTGAGACCAACAGCCACACTTAGGTTCACAGGGTATGGATTGCCATTTCCATATTTTCCATGAGCAAAGCAAGTACCGGAGTAAAGCGCAGTAGCAGCACCCATACTAAAGCCACCAACGCCAAGCTTGACTGCGATGATTAATGTAACAAGGTCAAAACTTTTAGTGATGAACAAGACCCAGCGGAGTCCATTCTATTGGATTGTCAATATATGAGATCAAAATAGCTTGGTTCTTGGCTAGAAATGTAAAGAAAAATGCCCACAACACAATAGAGAAACAGATAATAACAAGGAATGCCATTCCATATCTGGTGTGTGCTTGATAAGAATGGGTTTGAAGAAAGTAGACAAACGGAAACTGGCATGAAACCATACTGTCTGCAGGTTCGGTAGACAATAAATTTGCTACATGTGCAGCTGAGGAATCCAGCCCCTCAACATCATCAGGAGAATCTTCTGAAAGATCAGCAACATCAAACCCTGTGATCCCGGAAAAAGGCAAAACCATATCAGCACACACCTATCAAAACAAATGGCTATTTCAAAAGGAGTTAGCACAATACATCCAAGAGATAAATAAGAAAATTCACATGTTTCAGAACATACATGCAGTAGATGGGAATCCACCAAAAATTGCCACAGGCCTCGTAGGTGCAGTTGGGCAGATCCATTTTATCTGAAGCGGTAGCAAATCAGAGAATCAGAAAGACTTCCAACAGGACACATACTTGAAAGTTGAAATCTAGTTCCTAACTTACATTAGGAAGGGGAAGAGTTTCCAACAGTTGAGACCAGCTGCACATATAACATAAAACCCATTATGTCTATTGGTCTCTCCAAAAATAACTTCTAGTTTTGCATTACGTAGTTTTGAATAATTTTGAGCATAATGCAATTTCCTTAAAACCATAATAGCACAGAAATACCTTTCTTGCCAATAATAATGCAACGATTTATGTGCAAAGAAGCGTATGTACTGAACATATTATAGCACTGATCATAAAAGATGTCGCAAAAAATGTCTATTCGCCCAATCAGATGATTCAGCACATGTTTATTGGGCAGGAAATTAATTTCGACAAATATAAACAGTACGAGAGTGAGATGTCTCACGTATAGCGTTCTACAGTACAGTTGGTTGAGAGACATGGAAAATAGAGGAGATCCTACGACTATGATTCATCAAGAATGCAGGACGAACAGACAAGTCGTCCGTCATCATTGAATCCGTGAACGCATCAATCCCAACAAGCGGAGCTGCGACCCGGAAGGGCCAGACGAAGGGTTTGTTGCGTACCTGGCTCCATTGTCGCCGAGGCCGTGGAGCCAGACGATGGTGGCCTTGTGCGCGCCCTTGGGCCTCACCACATGCGTCCTCCCGTACTCGAACGGCCGCTTCCCACCTGCAACCCACCCACCATTCCGTCACATCCCGACAGAAGCACATCAAAGCCGGCGCATCGGCGACGAATCAACCGAACGAGGGGCAGAATCTATCACAAAGCATAATACGTACCGGCCGCAACGGAGCTGGCGCCGCCGAAGCTCATCCCGCGAACAGTCGCCGCCGCCGCCGGCACCCCTCCTCTCCTGGCGACCACGCTCGCCAACGCCACGAATCCAATGGCCTGGGCAGCAAAGGGGTTAATAAAGGCGACGGGCGCGTGCGTGCGTACGAGGGAGAGGGCTGGGGAAGAGAAAGGGGGAGGATTTGGGCGGCGGAAAGGGGAGCGCCTTTCTCTTATGGGAGTGAGTGCGGGGGGAAGGAATCTACGGGAGAGATTGGCTGCCGGTGGCAGGGCACCACACGGCCCGCGCTTGTCTCCCAGTCCCAGTGCTCCACCACCACCACTGCGCCAACTGAGCGCGCGTGATGGGTGTGGCAGGCACGCACGCCCATGAATGGAACAGTGGCTTGCTACAGGACCTGGGGGTGGCGGTGGCGGTGGCGATGGCAGGGAGGAGAGAGGAGGTGGATCGGGGCTGCGAACCTCTCGGCCGCCGGCGACGCGATTCGGAAGAGCTGGGGACGAGGGAGGGCAGCGGGCGGGTGTCGCCGGGCGATGCGGTGCGATGCGACGGGAGCTGAGCTCGTATCGTCCGGATCTTTCTCCTCGGTTCTCCTTCGCAGCGGCAGCGGTGTGGGGTTTCCGCTTTCTTGTTTCTGTGGTGGGGAACGTGCCTTGTTGGGTTCGGCGATGGACTCGGTGGTGTCTCGACACACCTTTTCCCGTGAATTGCATAGTTTTTTCAGGACACTCTTTTAAAATGGAGGTAGTATAGATTTATTCAAGGACGCCGATATCCACCACACGTGTGACATTTAGGGTGTGTGCAGCACGCCCCGTGTGAAATAGACACGGACCCGCCTGCACGACGGCGTCCGGGCGCTCCCATCCACAGCCCGCACGTCTGGTGTGTGGCGCGATCGCCCGCACGTCCGGCGAGCGACCCCGTTGCCCGCACAACCTCACGCACCCATCGACCGAACCCCGCGTTCGAACCACATTGCCACCCTCCCTCGTCGTCTCCAACCTCTGCATCGGCAGATCTTCCCCTACCATGGCAACTAGATCAGATCCCTAGCGCCCACACTTCCCATCGATGGAAAACACGACAACAAGCACACAGGTCAGAAACCTGTCTCCTCCTCCTTCCCCTACCCTCCACTGTTGGGGAACGCAGTATTTCAAAAAAATTACCTACGATCACGCAAGATCTATCTAGGAGATGCATAGCAACGAGCAGGGAGAGTGTGTCCACATACCCTCGTAGACCGAAAACGGAAGCGTTTGGTATCACAGTTGATGTAGTCGAACGTCTTCGCAATCCAACCGATCCAAGTACCGAAAGTATGGCACCTCTGCGTTCAGCACACGTTCAGCTCGATGATGTCCCTCGAACTCTTGATCCAGTTGAGGCCGAGGGAGAGTTTCGTCAGCACGACGGCATGGCGACAGTGATGATGAAGTTGTCGGCGCAGGGCTTCGCCTAAGCACTACGACGATATGACCGAGGTGTGTAACTGTGGAGGGGGCACCGCACACGGCTAAGAGAAGACTTGATGTGCCTTTGGGGTGCCCCCTGCCCACGTATATAAAGGAGGGAGGGAGATACGCCGGCCCTCCTAGGGGCGCGCCAAGTGTAGGGAGTCCTACTAGGACTCCCAAGTCCTAGTAGGATTCCCTTTCCTTCTCGGAGTAGGAAAGAAGGAAAGGAGGGAGAGGGAGAAGGAAAGGGGGGCCCGCACCCCCACCCCCCTGTCCAATTCGGTTTGGGCAGGGGGAGGCGCGCGCCACCTCGTGGCCCTTCTTCCCTCTCTCCACTAAAGCCCAATAAGGCCCATTAACTTCCCCCGGCGAATTCCCGTAACTTTCCGGTACTCCGAAAAATACTCGAATCACTCGGAACCATTCTGATGTCCGAATATAGCCTTCCAATATATCGATCTTTACCTCTCGACCATTTCGAGACTCCTCGTCATGTCCGTGATCTCATCCGGGATTCTGAACAAACTTCGGTCATCAAATCACATAACTCATAATACAAATCGTCATCGAACGTTAAGCGTGCGGACCCTATGGATTCGAGAATTATGTAGACATGACCGAGACACATCTCCGATCAATAACCAATAGCAGAACCTGGATGCTCATATTGGCTCCTACATATTCTATAAAGATCTTTATCGGTCAAATCGCATAACAACATACGTTGTTCCCTTTGTCATCGGTATGTTACTTGCCCGAGATTCGATCATCGGTATCATCATACCTAGTTCAATCTCGTTATCGGCAAGTCTCTTTACTCGTTTCGTAATACTTCATCCCGCAACTAACTCATTAGTCACATTGCTTGCAAGGCTTATAGTGATGAGCATTACCGAGAGGGCCCAGAGATATCTCTCCGATACACGGAGTGACAAATCCTAATCTCGATCTATGTGAACCCAATAAACACCTTCAAAGACACCTGTAGAGTATCTTTATAATCACCCAGTTACATTGTGACGTTTGATAGCACACAAGGTGTTCCTCCGGTATTCGGGAGTTGCATAATCTCATAGTCATGAAGAAAGCAGTAGCAATGAAACTGTAACGATCATAATGCTAAGCTGACGGATGGGTCTTGTCCATCACATCATTCTCCTAATGATGTGATCCCGTTCATCAAATGACAACACATGTCTATGGTTAGGAAACATAACCATCTTTAATTAACGAGCTAGTCAAGTAGAGGCATACTAGGGACACTATGTTTTGTCTATGTATTCACACATGTAATAAGTTTTCGGTTAATACAATTCTAGCATGAATAATAAACATTTATCATGAAATAAGGAAATAAATCATAACTTTACTATTGCCTCTAGGGCATATTTCCTTCAGTCTCCCACTTGTACTAGAGTCAATAATCTAGTTCACATCGCCATGTGATTTAACACCAATAGTTCACATCTGCATGTGATTAACACCCATAGTTCACATCGCCATGTGACCAACGCCCAAAGGGTATACTAGAGTCAATAATCTAGTTCACATCGCTATGTGATTAACGCCCAAAGAGTACTAAGGTGTGATCATGTTTTGCTCGTAAGAGAAGTTTAGTCAACGGGTCTGTCAAATTCAGAGCCGTATGTATTTTGCAAATATTCTATGTCTACAATGCTCTGCATGGAGCTACTCTAGCTAATTTCTCCCACTTTCAATATGCATCCAGATTTGAGACTCAGAGTCATCTGGATCGATGTAAAAGCTTGCATCGATGTAACTCTTTACAACAAACTCTTTTTATCACCTCCATAACTGAGAGATATTTCCTCGGTGTTCTTAGATAACTAAGGATAAATTTGACCGCTATACAATGATCCATTCCTGGATCACTATCGTACCCCCTTGCCAAACTCATAGCAAGGCACACAACTGGTTTGGTACATAGCATGGCATACTTTATAGAACCTATGACCGAGGCATAGGGAATGACTTTCATTCTCTTTCTATCTTCTACCGTGGTCGGGCTTTTAGTCTTACTCAACTTTACACCTTGTAACACAGGAAAGAACCCTTTCTTTGACTGATCCATTTTGAACTTTTTCAAAAACTTTATCAAGGTATGTGGTTTGTAAAAGTCCAATTAAGTGTCTTGATCTATCTCTATAGATCTTGATGCCCAATATGTAAGCAGCTTCACCGAGGTCTTTTATTGAAAAACTCTTATTCAAGTATCCCTTTATGCTATCCAGAAATTCTATATCATTTCCAATCAACAATATGTCATCCACATATAGTATTAGAAATGCTACAGAGCTCCCACTCATTGTCTTGTAAATACAGGTTTCTCTAAAAGTCTGTATAAAACCATATGTTTTGATCATACTATCAAAGCATTTATTCCAACTCCGAGAGGCTTGCACTAGTCCATAAATGGATCACTAGAGCTTACACACTTTGTTAGCACCCTTTGGATTGACAAAACCTTTTGGTTGCATCATATACAACTCTTCTTCCAGAAATCCATTCAAGAATGCAATTTTGACATCCATTTGCCAGATTTCATAAAATATGGCAACTGCTAACATGATTCAGACGGATTTAAGCATCACTACAGTTGAGAAAATCTCATTGTATTCAACACCTTGAACTTGTCAAAAACCTTTTGCGACAAGTCGAGCTTTGTAGATAGTAACACTACTATCAGCGTCTGGCTTCCTCTTGTAGATCCATTTATTTTCTATGGCTTGCTCATCAATGGGCAAGCCCACCAAAGTCCACACCTTGTTCTCATACATGGATCCCATCTCAGATTTCATGGCGTCAAGCCATTTTGCGGAATCTGGGCTCATCATCGCTTGCTCTTAGTTCGTAGGTTCATCATGGTCTAGTAACATGACTTCTAGAATAGGATTACCGTACCACTCTGGTGCGGACCGTACTCTGGAAGACCTACGGGTTCTGTAGTAACTTGATCTGAAGTTTCATGATCATCATCATTAGCTTTCTCACTAGTTGGTGTAGGAATCACTGGAACTGATTTATGTGATGAACTACTTTCCAATTCGGGAGAAGGTACAATTACCTCATCAAGTTCCACTTTGCTCCCACTCACTTCTTTCAAGAGAAACTCATTCTCTAGAAAGTATTCATTCTTAGCAACGAATATCTTGCCTTCTGATCTGTGATAGAAGGTGTACCCAACAGTTTCCTTTGGGTATCCTATGAAGACGCACTTCTCCGATTTGGGTTCGAGCTTATCAGTTTGAAGTTTTTTCACATAAGCATCATAGCCCCAAACTTCAAGAAACAACAACTTTGGTTTCTTGCTAAACAACAGTTCATAAGGCGTCATCTCAACGGATTTTGATGGTGCCCTGTTTAAAGTGAATGCAGCTGTCTCTAATGCATAACCCCAAAACGATAGTGGTAAATTGGTAAGAGACATTATAGATCGCACCATATCCAATAAAGTGCAGTTACGATGTTCGGACACTGCTACCTCTTGAGCACTGCATTGGATTTCCCCGAAGAGGAGAGGATGATGCAGCAAAGTAGCG